AATTATTGGTTTTAAGTATCGCCACGTCAATAAGTGTTGTTTGTCTGGTAATTTTATTAACTAGTACGAGATCCGGTCTATTATGTGTGCCACTGGTTAGTCTGTGAGTACAGTGCGGTCCCAGTATAGCATGTAGTTGTCATTTTCAAGCATTCTGTCAGAGACATATTGATAATAAGGAAGATGGTCGGTTTTGAGAAGTCCCAGTTTGTCAGCTAGTTCTTTGGCGTTTGGCATCCATATTGGCATTTGTCCTTTTGGACTTGAGGATCTTTAACAATATACATATTTCAGGTAATTTTTAGTTGGAATAACCTGATCCTGAATGGCAAGTGAAAGCGAGAAACATCTTTCCTGATGTCAAGCAATAGTTCGACGCTGTATTGTCGACATATCTTGGCTGATCTCATTGAGTTGTCGCCCATGTAGAGGTTTACTCATCCAGGTGCGCATTTTTTCTTGCTTAGTCAGATGATTTATGCGCATTTCTTGTTTCCTCAGTGTATGCGGCGTTGTACTCTCTACTGCGCAAATTGGTCGATGTAAGGTAGATGACTCAGCCTGCACCTAAAAATAAGTTCTTAAATTAGCAAACATTTATCCTTTAACTTTAGTTATTATTAACTTTCATCAAACTGTATATTCAGTCATTATTGTAATCTCCTATTCAATTTTTTTTGAACCTATTCTCTATCCTTCCATTGTTGGATATAGGTCTCCCCCAGTTCTCTTTATCTTTCCCTATCTTGAGCTGTTCTCTGCCATGTGGGACCTCCTTGTTTCTTGATGTCATCTTTCCACCTCATCTGTGGTCTGCCTCTTGATCTCTTTGCATTGTATGGACGCCACTTTCCGATGACATTGTTCCATCGTCCGTCTTGGAGACGTTCATTGTGTCCAGCCCATTTCCATTTCAGTTTTGCTGCTTGTTCTATCGCGTCTACTGTCTTTGTTCTGGTTCTGATCCACTGGTTACGTTTTCTATCTCTAAGTGATACACCCAACATTTGTCTCTCCATCGCTCTTTGTGCCTTCCTTATTCTATCCAAATTGGCCTGTGTAAATGTCCATGTCTGTGCTCCGTAGGTGAGCACCGGTATTATACAGGAGTTATATACCTTGCTTCGTAAGTATAGAGGAATTGTTTGATTTTTTAAAACGTAAAAAAGTTTGCCGAACGCTGCCCATCCCATTCTCACTCGTCTCGATATTTCGGCTGTTTGATTTTCTCTGTTAGCTCTGATTGCTTGTCCTAGATAGATATACTCATTTACCTGTTCTATTTTTTCTGTTTTTATTTTTATTGCCTCCTGGTCTTCCGTGTTTGTCATTACTTTTGTTTTGTTGAAGTTAATTTTTAGGCCTTTTTGCAGTGATTTTTCATGAAGTTCATTCAGCATTAATTCCAGTTCTTGTCGTTCCGAGGAGATCAGGAGTATATCATCCGCATATCTAAGGTGATTTAGGTATTTTCCGTTAATACATATTCCTTTGTTTTCCCAATCTGTTGATTTTATTATGTCTTCGAGGGTCAAGGTAAACAGTTTAGGTGAAATTATATCGCCTTGTCGGACTCTTCGTTTAACTTTTATATTATCCGTTATTAATTTGTCGTCCAGAATTACGGTCATGGTTGCGTTTTGGTAAATATCATGTATCAATTGTCGGTATCTTGAATCTATTCTACTATTGACCAGAGCTTCTTCAACCGCCCAGTGTTAAATGCTGTCGAAAGCCTTTTCATAATCTACGAATGCTAAGTACAGCGGAAGGTTGTATTCGTTGGTTTTCTCAATTTAGATTTTAAGCGCATGTAGATGGTCGATTGTGCTGTATCCTTTCCTGAATCCGGCCTGTTCCACTGGTTGGTAGTTATTAAGTTTATAGGTTAGTCGGTTGTTTATTATTTTTGTAAAGGTTTTATACAGTTGTGACAAAAGGGAAATAGGGCGGTAGTTGTTTAGGTCTGTTCGGTCTCCTTTCTTATGTATTAAGATTGTGTTGGCATTTCTCCATTGTTTAGGTATTTTACCTTCAAACAGACATTTGTTGAACAGTATTTTTAGCATTTTTTTTATCGTGTCTCCTCCTTCTTTTAGCAGTTCCGCCAGTATTTTGTCCTCACCAGCCGCTTTATTTCTTTTCATGTCGTTTATGGATTTTTCGATTTCATCTTCAGTTATTTCTGGTAATACCTCTGAGCCAACATTTTGTATTTTCCTCGAGAGATTCTGTTTAGATAATAGTGGTGGGTCATTTTTAGAACTGTATAGGTCTGTGTAATATCTTTCTGTGATTTTTACTATTCAATATGATTTCTTTTCCTATTCAATATGAGTTCAAAATATGTAGATTGTAATAAACTTGTTTACCATTTACATTATTAACTAAAACAGACAATAGTTGTGTTTCGAAAAGTGCTGCAAGATAAATTGCTTCTCTAAGATGGCTCAACGAAAAAGAACAAATTACCATTCTAATGATGAGAGGGTACGGTGATAGAAAAAGATCTTATTGTGAAGTAGCCAACTTGTTCAATGATACTTTCCCAAACCGTTCTCCTATTCATAAGGCGATGGTACAAAAAAACTGTAAAGCAATTTAAGGAATCTGGAGAAGTACAAGATAGATACCGACCAGGTAGACCGAAAACAGTTATGAATGACAACAAAACTTTAGATTCATTTTATGAGATCTTATTATGCTCTTTAGCACCGACGTTTCTATCTGAATGTGATTCCGCATATTCTGACTTACTACTACACAATAAAGCTCGTTGGTTAACGTTATTGAACGTTTCTGGCTAATAAAATAATATGTGATCTCCTTCTTACAAAATATAAATACGCAGGGAGCGAGGGTACATTTTTAGTATATAACAAATAGGCGCAACATACTGGTTGTGAGTTTTCTAAAAGATATTTTAAAATATTTTGAATGCGCTTAACACAGAGTTACAAGGAAATTGAAAATTAGTATGTGATCTGATACAAAGTGTGTCTGCTTTTCGTTGTAAGCTGGATATCTTTTAAAAGGATATTCCACAACAAGAGTTAATTCATTTTCACTAGTTTAACTGCTGAAAGTTATCATCTATTTGTATTGCAACTTTTTCGAATCAATCTGTTTTTTATCGTTCTTTATCTTTACCAATATAATATAACATTATACCTATGTGAAATAATCATTATCTATTATAGGATTATATTATAATAACCAAATAGTCCAATCGTCAAGAAATTTGACCTCTAAAAATCATACGAACACGTTGAATTTTGCTGAGAATGTTCATTTTGAGACCCCAAGAAAGATGCAAAAATCTTTATCAGTTTTACCCTCGATATTTCCCTAAAAGTCCCCACCAAAGGAGGGAAACGGAAAAAATCGATTTACTAAGAATCTGTACGCCGATAACACACTCTGATCAAAAGAAATAATTTTTATTGTCGAGTTGATACAAATTTTATTTAAAACTGATTTCGAGCCCATAAGTGATATTCATTCTACACAAATATTGCTGACAGCAATTTCGCCAAGTTGTATAGTAACCGTATGAATGTTATTTATGTCTGATGTAGAACATATAATGTGTGCATTTTCTATTTTGTTTCGAACATAAGTTGCCACTCCATAAGCTGGTAATTGGTAATGGATGGTAATTTGTTCTGCGTTGTCTACATGGGTTTTCTGAATTGCGACCACGTCGATATTATTTTCAATGAGTACCTTTTGAAGGTACTCACATTTACTTCTACTAATACCTTCTATATTTAAATGGCAGATTCGGATGCTTGACCCGAGTCCTTTTGTCGCTTGGTCCTGAGAAGGTCCATTTAAATTGTTGGTTAGAGGTATATCTTACATTCGTGATATGTTCTTGCCAGGAGATCTAGAAATTCTAGATTGTCTGGCTACCTATTGCGCTAGTTCATTTAGCATTACCCAGGGTGCACGTGTAGTATTCTACTACGGACGCGAACTAGCTTTACACCCCCGGTATGGCTCAATAACAAACACACGAAGATTATTGACACCCAATTAAACCATACAATGCGAATGATTTCAGGTACAATTAGACCCACATCGAACTCTTGGCTTCCCATTCTGAGTCACATTCCACCGCCGAAACTGCGAAGAAGTCATTCTCTTTCTAGAGAATATCGAAAAATCGAGACTAACCATCAACTACTTATCCACCATGATAAGCTTGATATTGAAATAAACAGACTGCGCTCCAGATATCCTCCAGCTCCAGATATCCTCCATTGCTAGGAGCCAATTTCTTGGAGAAGAACAGCAAGTTCACACACCAAGTTCACCAGGAAGCACACCAAGTGGCCTGTATCGATCAGAAACCGCCAGGCTTTGAACTGACCCGCAATACATGGACAACGCTAAACAGAATAAAAACAAGCAGCGGTAGATGTGCTGACAGCTTATATAGATGGGAAAAGCCCTTACTCCTGACTGTGACTGTGGTGCGTCCGTCACATTGTTGAAGAATGCCCCGAAGACATTTCCGTTTTCGATGATTTCCTGAATGCGACCAAAAATGTTTTACCCTATATTAATAATACATTAGATGTTCGTTTGTAATAATTCATGTAACGTTTTATATTGATTTTTATTTATGTGTTCTTATTGTATGCCATACGATAAATAAATAAATAAATTCTACACAAAAAGTGTTAATATTTTTATTCAAAATTATATCAGCTTCATTTTTTATTTGAAACATTTTTTCTACGGCGTACCGATTTTAGTAAATCGATTTTTTTCGTTTTTCATCCCTTTACCACTTTTACCCCCGGGGTAAACCCCGTACAAGATTACCATGTAAAAGTGGTAAACTTTTATGAAACATTTTGGGGTGTTATTCGATTTTTAGAGGTTCAAGTGCTTGAAGTATAATAATATTATTTAACAATAAAATAGTAGTTCAAATACTGTCTCATGGTAGCGCATTTAACCCAAATTTTGTGTAACATAACCTGTAATTTAGTGTTCATGAAACAAAATGTTATTAAACCGACATACCACAAAAATCTTAAATTCAATCAAAAATTTTAGATCTTACAGTTCAAAAAGAGGTGTCATTCTTGGAATTGAAACGTCTTGCGATGATACCGGCTGTGCCATTGTGGATACCGATGGAAACATTTTAGGTGAAGCTTTAAATTCTCAGCATTTAATACATCTAAAGTAAGCTTATTATATTCTTATTACGACTCAATTTTCTGTTGTTACCCGTACTATTAGTTGTCTAATATATTCTTACTTTGTACTAATTGACTACATTGTGCAGAAGTACATCTATATCATTGTAAAAATTCACAAATAAATTGATTTGATTTCTTTTAGTAATGGTGGGATTATACCTCCAATAGCTCAGGATCTGCACAGAAAAAACATAGAAAAAGTAGTGACTAAAGCTATACAAAATGCAAATATTTCATTTGCAGATATAGATGCCATAGCCACTACCGTAAAACCAGGTAAGTGCTTTTATTATCGTATACCAAATAAATCATTTTACAGCCATAAATTGTGTTATTTCAATATTTTGTCAGGTTTACATGTAGTTTCTTTATGAAAGTAAGGGGAAAGGATGTATTCATTTTTTTTATTTTTATAATAAAATATTTGTGTACTGTACAAACACTGCATTTGACAATGCTTATAAACAATCTGAAGTTTGTGGTTGTTGCTGTGATGTTTCTAATGTTGGGGTTATTGCATTATCCTTTTCTGCTACAGAATTTCCAGACTCTGGGTTTTGACATTCATAAGAATCACAAGGAAGATTATAATCACCTCTTTCAGACATTCTTATAATATTGTTTTCATGTTCTTCATCCCCAGCTGTAAAATAATTGTTTTAGTTTGTTAATTAATAAATGCCATATTTTCACGAAAATGTTTACTTTAAAATTTTAATTAAACTTTGATATCTAATGTAGTTACTGTAAAGCAGTAAATTTGAATTCAAAAACTCTTGGATTTTTTATTTATAGTTTATTTGTTTTCAACAAAGATAAATTAAAACATTTAGCAAATGGATGGCAAAGTACTTATAGACACTAGTATGTGCCTTGATATCTACTTGTCCTGATTTGGATACTATTTGTTGAAAACACATGGACAGGTAACATAATCAATAAGTAGTGGTCACTGTTAAGAATGGAAATAAAACAAAAATATATTTTTGGCGCCTACTATAAGTTATAATTCCAACTAAAATTTTAATAAACTCTTGAGATGTTACTGTTATTTACAATTAATTTTGCAATATTGCAAATATTTTGGAAATATTGCACAGAGAAACTTCAAATTTGGCTAGTGGCATGTAGATGTTATATCTCTTCATAAATTATGAAATCTCAATGTAATAATGGTTGCCTACCAGTAATTTCACCTTATTTTCCTAAGAGTGGCAACTAATGATTCAGTGACCATTACTGATTCATTAACTTAGTGGCTTTAAAATAGTATTAATAAATCTCATACCCATAAATTCTACATTGTTCTCTCTGTTATTGAAATCTTCAATAAGGTGCTCTGTATCGCTCATATCGCTTTCGCTACTGCTACTAGAAAGCATAAGAGACACAGCAGAATTAAGTAAGTTCGGAGAACTTATGGAGGATCCTACACCTATCAGTTGCTGACATTCATCATTACTTCGAACTGATGAGTTTCCTTGAGACTTTTGACCACTCACCTTAAACATATAATAAACTTTTGTATAATATAATATAAATATATAATAATAAAAATGATATTGTCAATTTTTTTTTAACTTAGTGATCCCATTGTAAATCATGAAGAAAAATGAGGAAAAAAATCATCACTAAAATATCCCGACATAGATTGACAACTGTTGCTAATATATCATTATTTCTATTTAGGTTTTTTCAAGTATGTAGGTATACTGTTTTGTTCTAAAAGAATATTACATTTATTTATCTATGAAATTTTAACTGTTCTCTGATGATCGAGAGCTCGGCTCTGTGTACTTTTTTTAAGCTTCCGCTTGAATATGATGGACGTAACTTCAAGCCCTTTGGTATTATTATGTTATTCCTACATGTTCTAAAAATATAATCGAGTTTTAACTTTGCGCCAGTTTTCCATACATAATTTTCAATCTTCTAAAATTTTGACTATTAGTTGACCCATATCGGTTTCTTAAATATTGTATAAATAAAAATAACTAAAGCCGAGTAAGTCGAGTATGGCTATTTGCCTATAAGATCAAGGCCAAGTAAATCAACTACCACATTCCATTATTATGTTAGTTGACTTACTCGGCCTTGATCTTATAGGCAAATAACCATATTTTGAGTGAAATTCTGAGTGATTTACCCTCGGATTGATATCAAATTCTGATTTTTGTGTGCTTATGTAGTCAGTTATAGATGATGTGTCCCTGACCTGCTATTGAATCATTAGTGTTAGTATATTCTTATTGCTAACTTCTTCTTTCAATATTGGTAACTTAATACCATAGAACGGGGTGACTTTGTTAATTTTTTTTATATTTTCTTACGTAACTTTTGAATGGGTGATCCCAAAAATGTGGAAAAATGTCCATTGGGATTCATCTTATGTTTATGTAATTTATACTGTTAGTATATATATCTTTAAATTGAGGATTTTTTCAAAAAAATAAGTAATGGTATATCAAAATCACCCATTGATGTGGGGTCACTTTGATACCCTATTTTAAAATAGCTTGGACAATGCATAAAAGCTGTAATGGTGTCAATGTCAACCCATTTTTAAATCGATCAAGCCCATTTTTAGATATTTCAATTTTAGTTTTTGGGGTGACTTTGACAGCTGCTATAGGCACAATAATTAGTATATAATAAATAATTTTACAGGTAGCTAATAGTTTATTCAGGTAAAAAACATTTTAGCAAATTAGTAAAACAGTATAAAATAGTAAAAAAAGCCAAAAGAATGTATTTTGAACGGAAACAAAATCAAAGTTATTTTTCTTTAACATCAACTCTGCCAGGAAATGTACATGTAGTTGCTGTTTCATTTGTTTCAACCGATGGGGTCTTCAGAATTGCTAAGATATCATCGAAAGGAGCGTTAAAAACGTCGGTCTCCACAACTTTAAAATGTTTATGGGTCTCATCCAGTGATTTAAGTCCAATGAGTTCGTATTCGTCAAAAGGTAATTTCTCTTGTATCCTTCCGGCATATACGTAATTTTTACATTTTTGTTTACCTGACATAATTTTTACAAGCACGTAAGTTCCAACATTCAATTCAGCAAGGGAGGGTTTTGTATTCATCTCATCTTCATATGATTGGTCCTCCACAGAATCTTCATTTTCGCTTTCACTATTATAGCTGTTTAACTGGCTATCGGAGGAGCTGTCATCTGCCGTTATATGTCGACTTACACTTTTACCAGGTTGGATATGAAGTTTCTTTTTACTTTGCCGTTTAGTAACTTCTATCTCGGACTTCTTATTTATCAGATAGTCTGTGAGGCTGTCGTTAATCAGAGGTTCTACATAATCAACATCATGGTTGATTGGTGTAATCTTACTCAAGACTTTATTTGGATCGAAAGGGACCATGCCACAAGCCTCGAACCCATTCTTCAAAACTCTCTTAATTGCACTTTTTTCACAATCTCCACATTTGTACTCAGTTTTTGCAATTGTCTGATCCATTAATTCCAAGCATTTTTTTAATAACGACGGAAATTGATCTTTAGGTACACCAGTAATTTTTGGGTGTCGCAATTTAAATTCCGTCAAAACTTTTCGCCAAGATACTTTCATGGGTTTAAAAAAAGACATCCAAAGGCTGGCATATGTGTGTTGAATTACTGGGAAGGCACGCAAATTCAATATTGTGCAATTCACACAATTCTAAAACATGATCTGAAAAGTGAGACGCCAAGTTGTCGCCGATCATAACTTTTTTACCTTCCAGCCGTCTTGCGTGGGGTAATAATATGGTCTCAAACCAGTCTGTAAAACAAGTTACCTCCATCCACCCATTTTTTGTTCGGTTATATCTAGCTCCTCTTGCGCAATATCCACTACTACAACAAGGAGAGCCCTGTGGACCTCCTAATGTCCATGCATCCCACATATGTTCGCTGCGATATATTATATAAGGAGGGAGTAGTGTACCATCAGCAGCACCGCACATCATTATTGATGTGGCGGCTTTACTATGATTAGTGATTTGTTCTGGATATTTGGTCCCTCTTCTATAAAGCAATCTTCTTTTCCCCGGATCATCACTAACGTTGGTTTCATCGTAATTGAAAACGTGTGATGGAGGGCAATTTGAGAGAGTTGTTCTTAAATTATTGACATAATGATTCTATCGTTTCTTTTGTGACACCTGCCCGAGCTCTAGTAATGTTAGACGCAAGTCGTTCAGAGATTTGCTGACTATGTCTCTCTAAAAAAAGTTTTACCCAGTCGTTACCAGGACTTACCCAGTTTTTAAATTTAGAGATAATTCTTCCAGTTCTTTCTAAATAACTCTTAGTGAAAAGTTGTACATCTAGCGTCGATAATGGAAATCCCCAATCTGCACATTTGACAATGCAGGACACGATTGATTTTTCCTCCAGCTCCGTCAACGCAGTTTGGCCCCCTGGCTTCTTCACATGCTTCCCTTTGTATTTATTATATAAAGTACCATACGGAATTTTAAATCTTTCTGAAGCGGCTTTAACAGACAAGTTTCCGTTTACTATTTGAAGCAGAGCATGTTCAAGAGTTTCGTCAGAGAAGTTCTTGTAGCTTCTTGATCCCAACTTTCGTTTATAAACTCGCGGCATTTTGTCTTTTCATGCAGATATTGACGAAATCCTGAAAATAATTAACGGTTTGAAGTTTCATTAAGCAAACTATAAAAAGAAATAAAGTATCAAAGTCACCCCGAAAAATGTATCAAAGTGACCCCGGATAAGAAATCATTCAATTTCATGGAGTAGTTACGGAAATAAGTTAGGTTAAATATTTTAAAATAGTGACAACTAGACCTACATTAAGGCAACATACACAAAATTACCTGCAATTCTATTGTAAGAGCTGTATGTTTAAATTTAGTAACACAATATAAAATCTTCAAATTCAAACAAAAACTTCAATGGTGAATTTACAACCGTATACTTTTGATGTTGGCCACAAACACCTTTTGCTATAGTGAATCAACATGTGCACTGAAATAAAGTTCACACAACCACCATAACGGACGAAACATTTGGGTTGTATACTCTCTTGAAACAAAATATTCATGTTTTATCAAAGTCACCTTATAGAATCAAAGTCACCCCATTCTACGGTAGCAATATTTACCTGTGTTCGTATAGATGAATCGGATGTAGAACTGCATATTGAATTTTCACTGGACATATTTTTCTTATTACATGAACACGGAACAGATATTACTTTTTTACTATCTCTTGGAAAAGTGGATATTTTGATACCCGCAGACTCCAATTGTGGGTTTTCTATCGATGTTGATTGTTTTGGTGCATCAGATTTAGATATTGATGAACAATTAGCTTCAGTTTCATCTGTACTTCCTAAAAAAACAAACCGTCATTCTATTAAAATCGTATGTAATTACTTTTTTATGAAATAAATGATGTGGTTAACAAAGTTTTGTACACAAAATAATTTTATATACAGAGTGAGTTTTAAGTATCATTATTAACGTGCTGTACGCGTCCACTGCTGAGCATAGGTCTCCTTCAGCTCTTTCCTTTTGTCTCTGTCTTGTGTTGCTTGCATCTAGATACTGCTAACACACTTAAGATCGTTAGTTTATCTGGTTGGTGGGCTCCTTCTGCTTTGTAATGCTTCTTGTCTTGGCCTTCACTCGACAATACGTTTGTCCATCGGTTGTCTGATAATCTAGCGACGTATCCTGCCCAATTCCATTTTAACGACAGGATTTGGTCTGTCTGTTTCCACTCTTTAAGTGAGTACAGGTAAAACACACTGGTCAAAGATTTTCCTTTTGAGATAACCAGTTTAACGTATGGAACGCGTCAATGATTACCTAAACGGCTTACACGATTTATATAAGTTTCGGTATGTGCGAATTTTCTAATAAAGCTGAACTTATTGTAGTATTTACATTGTCGACAGATTTTTCATTTTTCTTAAACATTGTTTTTACTACAAAGGAAACTTGGGTACGTTTCTACGACATCAGGCAGCAATTTAGATTAAATAAAGACATTTTGGTTCTCCAGGACCGTTAAAAAAAATTCTTGTTTAAAAATCTACTGAAAAACTAGTAAAACAGCTGCGAACTATTAAGGGATGACCAGCCGTTAACACAATGTAGGAGATTGGTTAGAGTAGAGCGACCGGAGACAAATCCATGTTGTTGTGTTGGAATAACATGTTCCTGGAGAAGGAATTTGGTCATCTCCTCGGAAATAATTGCTTCCATGAATTTGTCAACTACTGGCAACCAGATAATCGGACGATAATTGTTGGGGTCGAGTTTGTTGCCTTTTTAAAATAAGGGATGCTAATTTCCAACTAGGGGGTAAGGAGTTCTGGATGAAAGAAGTTTGCATAATTAACGTTAAGGGTATTGCAAGCGTGTCTGTGCATCTTTGTAATCGTTTTCTTTTGATGCTGATCAGTTTTTTGGATTGACAAGCAGTGATCATATGATTGATTTTCTGGTTAAAGGTAGAATATTTACTACGAATCACTATTCGATGTTACTAATAAATTTACGATTTGTACAACTAAATTCTTCCCATTGGTTATGCCTACCTGTTGGATTTTTGTTATGTACTGCAGCTGTATCACCAGTAGCTTCATTTATGTGTTCTTTTGCTTCGTTTTCTTTTGTTTCATTTACTTGTATGGCATACTGAAGTTGAGTTGCTTTTAGTTGATTTATGTACCATTGTTGATCCCGACATTTCTGATAATAAGTAGGGGCTCTTACTTGAAACCTGTAAAATACGAAAGGTGTAGAGATTTTGGTTTAACGGCCAATAATAATCTGGTAATTTTAGTCCTCAGGCGCCACACCCGTGAGTTTGTGTCATTTTATTTCGCCTGTCCGCTGAAGGGTTAAAATACAAATGTCTGCGAATTATATGATTATAATTATTACAAACAAGAATGAAAAAACAAGAGTATTAAAATTCTAGCATATTCGAGATGCCTGAAATGTCTAGTGAAGTCTGGAACGTCAGATGTTGTTGACAGTTGGGGAATAACAGTAACAGTAGTATTTATTTTTATTGTTACATTGCATGTTTACAATCTAATCTATACACAGAGTAATAGGTAAATAGTCTGTAAGTAAATTAAAGTGCGTTAGGTACTGTTCAGTGGCAGTTCTCTAAGTATTATTGCGGTAGGTCTTCTGGCCATACTCTCTTCAATCTTCTTGCGGCAAGTGGTTGGATGAATAAACGATTTAGTTTAAGTATCGAATATTCTTCAGGGCAGGATATGGCACAAATGACCATTTGCATACCATAAAGATCTTAATAGAAAAGTGCATCGAGTACAACATACCACTGGTTCTTGCATTTGTCGTTTACGAGAAGGCTTTTGATTCTGTAGAGTTTGAAACAATACTGGAAGCCCTAAATCAAAGCCGAATAGATTACAGGTACACGACACTAACCACAAACATCTACGAGAACGCTACATCAAGTATACGACTACACGAAGACACAGAAAAATTCAGCTTAGGTCGAGGAGTTAGACAAGGAGACAATATTTCACCAAAATTGTTCACGGCAGCTCTAGAGTCAATATTTAAGAGCACTCAATGGCAAGATATGGGCATCAATAGCAGCTTTCAAAGGGCAGTTTCTATGATGAATTCGCTTAAAAGTCTGTCTGAAAGAGCAGGATTAAAGATAAACTTTGAGAAAACTAAACTTATAACAAATCTCGTAATGAGTGGAAATATAACTATTGACAATAATAACATACAACAAACAGACACTTACAAATATCTGGGACACGAAATCAAAATAAGCAGAGACAATCAAACACATGAAATACAGAGGCGAATAGGCCTAACTTGGGCAGCATTTGGCAAATTAAGCCTTATTCTAAAAAGTTCAATTCCCATGTGTCTTAAGCGAAAGGTTTATAACCAATGTGTTTTACCTGTACAAACTTATGGAGCAGAGACTTTAACACTCACGCAAAAATCTGCGAATAAACTCAGAGTTACGCACCGAGCCATGGAACGTGCAATGCTGAACGTGAGCCTCCGAGACCACATAACAAACCAACAAATCAGGCAAAGATCAGGAGTTCAAGACGTCATCGAAAGAACCACGTCGCTTAAGTGGAACTGGGCAGGGCACTTAGCCAGAGCACAAGATGGACGGTGGACAAGACGTATTATGGAATGGAGGCCCAGAAACTATAAAAGAAGTCGAGGACGACCACCGACTAGATGGACCGATGATATAAAACGTGTAGCGGGAAACTGGCTACAAGCGGCCCAGGGTAGAGAACACTGGAAAGAACTGAGGGAAGCCTATGTCCAAAAGTAGACGCGATTGGCTGATTGATGATGATGATCGGATTATTTGACTTTTTATTTGAATATAATTGACACAATTATATTTCAAAAAGGTTCCGCATTTCAGTGACCTTTTTCATTTGTTCATAATTCTTTACTTTAGTACTTTATTCGAAAATAACCTTTAAAATAAAATAATTAGAATACTTACTTCAATACTAACGTATCGTTAATTAAATTCAAATAACCCTCAGTCGCTAACAGATCTAGTCGAAAAAATCTATTATAGCCCCAACATTCGCCTACTTCGAAGTCTGAAGCAAACTCTCGGACAATATTCTTTGAAGGATCTCTGCTTACTTGGTGAATCATTTCCACTCGATATTCATATTTTGACGTTTCAGGATAACCTGTAAATCGAAAACATTGTCAAATTTACACTGAAATAAAACTTATAAGTTATACCAATTAAATTTCGTTATTCCATCTTTGAAAAATCTAATAAACAACGAAGTAACGAAGATCAAATTAATACGTATTAGTTCAGTGGGGTTAAACGAAAAAAGACCTCACCTTACATGTCGAGCTGCCCCAAATTGTATTATTCTAAACTTTTAGGGGGCCAATAGTGGTGCAAATTTAAAATCGCGACCGAATCCAACCGTTACGTTAGCCGCCATCTTGAATTTGAATATGAAAAAGGAGAACCATTTTTGCTCAATATCTCCGCCATTTTCATTGTTTCGACAAAAATGGTAAGGACTGCAAATGCGGTTTCCTACAATTTCTATTTTACAAATTTTTTTCGTGCGGTCGATATTTTTCCAGCATAGCGGGGAAAATAGTGATAGGGGGACGCATATTTATCGAATTATCTCGTTTACTATTAATTTTACGAAAACAATTCACATAAAAAAATGGAGAGACTTATATTTAATACAATTTTGATCTTTTTTATTTTTTCCTGAAATCAATATTTGAGGTCGTACGTATGCGGTAAAGGCGCGAGCGTAAGCCCTTGCAGGGATTGGTTTTATAGGAATTGTTTTTATTCAATATCTCGGCCATTTTAAACTTTTATACAAAATCGTAAGGATTTAAATTATTGCAATTACGATTTCCTACAATTTCTTCGTTACAAATTTTTGTAAAATTGCAAATGACGGAGATATGGCTGACGCAACACCCCCTAAAGGTTACAATAATAAAATGAAGACAATAAATGTTAGTACCCCGTTTTATGTTTTGAATCTTGACAAAGGCAAGGGTTTCCTGCCGAAACGTTGATTTCGATGGAAAATAAAATATAGTTCCACATGTAATATAAATATTGAACCAAAAACCCAAGAACGAAGAAATACTAATTTTATATTAGTGATTAAAAACGTATATAAAACCTATTAAAGTGATTAATCATCTGCCTAATTTGGATCAAAAAGACTATTGTTTTTCCTCCTACACCAACAATATATTGCAGCTGATGCTTTTATAGTTCGTATTTTCGTCTTGTTCAGATTAAAGAAAGAAAACAGGGAAATTTTTAAAAATATTGTTTTTAAAACTAACGAAACTGACTTACCCGCGGTTAACTCTAGGAAGACTGATAGATAATTTCCTCTCACTACACCATTTCCTTCCGGATACACTTTAAGTCTCCAGCATAATCCATTGCTGTGAAGTGGATTAGAGTACACGGGATCTGATTTCCTTTGAAGTTGTGAAAATGGGTACATTACGTACGTACTAGTGTCGTATGAAGGCACTATTTCGCTATAAAGATAAAAGATTAAAACATATTTAAATAAAAATTAGAATATGATGTGCAATATACACCATTATCACTTTAACGGGATTTAATTAAGCATCCAGAAATCAGATCTAAGTAACCCAATTCAGTTTCAAATTAAAAATCCTTTTAATAATATTATTCATTGTTTATTACGAAATGCGATTGTTTATGACATTGAAAATATCGGTGTAACTAGAACACGCGCTGACCTAGTGAAATTTGCAATGTAATCAACAGCTTATTAAATAATGTGTACAAATTATATTAAAAAAACATGAATGCATAAACAAAACGCACGTGAGTTAAATAACTTGAAAATAATTAAAAGTGAACAATCGAAGCTAGTGTTGTCATCTGTCAACTGGGTACTCTCTCTTATTGTACTTAGAGAACCAATAAAGTTATTATGAGTATCCAGTGAGTTCGAGTTAATCAACCCCATGCAGGGGTAAACTACCCCTAGAGTTCCATTATATGGAACTCTTGATAGAAACAATCTAATCAACATTATAAGAATATCTAACATTATTATATGGCGATTATAGACCAGACGGAAATGGAACAGAACAAAGTATTGTATTATCTGTTTGTATGATACTTCATTGCACGATTTATTGCACATTTTTATGAATGAATAATATAAAACATATTTTTTTTAATACAATTAGGTCACTAATTTTTAATACGACTATAGATATTCATACTATTGACATGGTTTTAGTGTGTATTTAATTATTATTATTAATCTATTTCCAGATTTAGCCATACGGCTCACACTCCCTCTAAGGGGAAAATTCACTCATCGCAGATATCTAAGAATCTAAGGTATCAAAAGGACTGAGCCCTAGTGGGACTCTTTTTGTGTTATCGAGCCCTAGGTGACTTGGTTTGTTGGAGTATCTCCCAAAAATTTTCGTACACATTAGGACGTCGCGAGGAGTAGAGCTTTCTGCATGGCCTTATAGAGATGTTCATTTAGACCCAGCTGTGTTATATTCTCTAGGAGGTTTTTGGGTATAACACCAATAGTAGATAGAATAATAGTAGAAGCTGACTATTATTCTATCTACCAAGCAAAAGTCTGAGTACTTTCCATTTTCCATTGTCGCCTGATTTGTATTTCCAGATCTCTGTACTTGGCGATCTTTTCGTTGTATTCAACACGTAAATTATTGGTGTTGGGTATTGCCACATCAATAAGTGTTGTTTGCCTAGTAATTTTATTAATTAGTATGGGATCCGGACTATTATGTGCCACTGGTTGGTCTTTAAGCACAGTGCGGTCCCAATATAGCTTGTAGTTGTCATTTTTAAGCATTCTGTCAGGGACATATTGATAATAAGGAAGATGGTCGATTTGGAGAAGTCCCAGTTTGTGTGCTAGTTCTTGATGAATAATCTTTCCTACTGAGTCATGTCGTTTAAGCGGCGTTGTATCATCTACTGCGCAAATTGCTCTATTTAAAGTAGATGTCTCAGCCTGTACCTGAAAATAAGTTCTTAAATTATTAACATGTTTATCCAGTTGCTCACCTATCTTCATAAGTCCTCTTTCCCCTTGATACCGAGGTAATGTTGTTCTCTCTACTGCACTGCGTGGATGGTGTTTTTGCGCCTTTGTGAGAAGTGTTCTTACTTTCCGCCGAAGACACTCTATATCTGTTTTTGACCAATTTATAATACCAAATGAGTAGCACAGCGCGGAACAGGCGTACATATTTAATACCTTAAACAAAGTTTTACTGTTAAGATGTGACCGATTTAGTTGTCTTACTCTTCGTACGAAGTCCGAAGTTAGTTCGGTTTTCATTTGTTTATGGTCAATTTTCCGCCCTTGCTTTACTCCGAGATATTTGTACATATCATTTTCACCCATTGCCTCGATATTTTGGCAATCTTGCATATCGAAACCTCCGGGCTGAATCTTTCCTTTGACTATATTTAGTATACGGCACTTGTCTAGTCTAAAATGCATACTGATGTCATTTGAGAAAGTTTCTACAGCTTTTAGCATCTGATCTAAGTGGTTTTGAGTGGAAGCCATTAATTTCAAATCGTCCATATACAACAGATGATTAGGCTTCGCCACAACAGTATTGTAATTTTTGATGCTAAAACCTGAGTCAGTGGAGTTCAGTAGCTGAGATAGTAGGTTCATCGCTAAACAGAACCAAAGAGGACTCAACGAGGGCCCCGGTTAATTGGGATATCTTCAGTTTCGATGTTGTTTTCACCACTCCGTCATTATATGCTTTAAAAAGGTCACTATATTATCATCGACTTTATATATTTTGAATATATCTATAAGCCATTCATGCGGTACTGAATCAAAGGCCTTCTTGTAATGAAGGCTGTGAAAAGGTTCCTTTTTTTGGTGTACGCCTGGTTGGAAATGACTGAGTTGATTATAAGTTGTTCTTTGCAGCCCATGGAACCCTTAGCGCATCCTTTCTGTTGACGGTCTATGATATTGTTTAGAGAACAGTGTTGGTAGATACGCTGGGCTACACATCTATTTATTATTATCTATTTTATTATTACCACTATCTGACTATTTTATTGCTATTAGTCTATTATTGGCAATTTTTAACAAGTACAATAGGTTTTATCATATTTATATAATTTTATATATGTATATTATGTTTTTGATAATTTTATATTACTGCGTAAGACTATCGAAATTATGTGTCCATTACAAAGTACAAGAATAACACAAATGGAAATTCTCATGAATAAATGAGTAGAAAGAAGGAAATAGACGAGGAAAAAAGTGACAAGGATGTAGACGAAACAAGCGACACAGAGCAAGAAATAAGTATGGCTCTTACAATCAACGAATTTTTAAATATCGCAAGCAAGGTGTTGCCCAGTGAGTTTATGGAAGCGCAGGTAAACTGCAGTCATTTTTGGATGCATTAGAACTCCTAGAGAAAATAGCGATAGGGCACGAGGAAGCAGCGATAACATTAATCAAAACAATTGTAACCAATAAGGTCAGAAACCATGTAACTACAGAGGATACAATCCCAAGAATAGCAACGGCACTGAAGAGAGAACTGAGAGGCGACAGTCCAAAGACGGTAATAGCTAAATTGGCGAAAAAAGACATTTGAGACATGTCGTAAGTTCAACCTAAAACTTAACCCAGGAAAATGATAATTTTTTAGAAGAGAGGTCACATATTTAGGACATGATCTTTCTCAGGAAGGAATATCACCAGATAAAGCAAAATATACAACGATTGAACAATATCCGGCACCTAAGACAGCTTCTTCTTCTTTAAGTTCCATCTCCTATCGGAGGTTGGATATCATAACGGCTATGGTCACTTTGTTGGCTGTTGCTCTGAAAAGTTGTAGTGAACTACAGTTAAACCATTCTCTAAGGTTCCTCAGTCAGGAGATGCGTCTTCTTCCTATGCTTCTTCTTCCTTGGATCCTTCCTTGCATAATAATTCTCAGCAGCTCATATTTTTCTCCCCTGGTTATGTGACCCAAATACTCTAGTGTTCTTCCTTTTATGCTGTTCATAATTTTTAACTCCTTATTTAGACGTCGTAGTACGTCAGCATTGGTAATCCTCTGAACCCACTGAATTTTTAATATTCTTCTGTAACACCACATTTCAAACGCTTCTATTTATCGTATGTGTTGTTTCTTCAATGTCCAAGCTTCCATTCCGTAGAGTAAGATAGAAAATATGCAACATCTTAGAGCCCTCAATCTGAGATGCAACTGAAGGTCTCTGTTGGTAAGCATTGTCTTCATTTTCATAAAAGCTTGCCTTGCAGTTTCAATTCGGACTTTGATTTCTCTGCTTTGATCATTTTTGTCATCAACCCAGGTTCCCAGATATTTGTATGTCTCTACTTTTTCTATTTGGATTTGCTCTATCATTAATCTTTCATTTCCATGTTGCGTTTTTGAGACAATCATAAATTTAGTTTTTCTCTTATTTATTTTTAGTCCGTATCTAATGCAATAATCGTTAATTCTATTTACCAATGTGAAGAATCATTCAATAAGTTCAAATCATATTTGATGAAATCACCAATCTTAAAATATCCGGAGTTCAGTAAACAATTCATTTTGACAACACAACGCATCCAACGAGAGTTGTTCAGCAATTTTAAGTCAAAACTATAACGGAATAGACCTACCGATAGCATACGCATCAAGAAGTTTTAGTAAAGGAGAATGTAATAAACCTATAATCATCAAGGAATTACTAGCAATTCATTGGGGAATTAACCATTTCAAATGTTATTTATATGGAGCACCAACATTTTTGGTAAAAACGGATCATAAACCCTTAACACACCTATTTTCAATGGAGGAACCTACCTCAAATCTTACGAGGATCAGACTAGATCTAGAGGAATACGACTTTGAAATAGAATATATAACAGGTAAAAATAATTACGCGGACAGTTTTTCGAGAATAACATTTTTATTATTTATTATAATTATTTAATTAGAAATCTTCGGATTTCTAGCTCGTTACTTTAAAATTACTTTTTAACTTTTGGTGTCAGAGTCTGTTGATAATGGATTAGTTATAAAATAAATTACCTTTGAAATTCTGCTGGCACGGGAGCTGTAACGAAACTTGTCATTGGTTTTTTCCTTATACTACTGACCATCTTGGACAAATCTTCACTTTTTAATATTAATTCTGATTTTGAAGAGGTATGTAACTGGAGTTCTATTTCATTTAAGAGATGCTCTAATTGTTCTGTTTCCTAAAAAAATATGTATGTACTCTTTATGGTCTTTTTTTTTGGTTGGGCAATACAATATATTTACCTGTGTAAGAGAATCTTTTTGGCCCATTAATGTTAAAAGTTTGCTTTTCAGTTGTGTGTCAAGTCTCATTATCATAAACTCAACAGCATTTCGTACTTCTCTTACACGTTCGTCTTTCGCCGATCTGACAGAATCTACGTTTCTTTCGACTTCCTGGACAATGCTTATCAGTTCCATTAGCCTTGTTTTTTAACAAAAACATAAATTATTAGTAATATTTATTACCAACAACTATTTTCTGATCTGTAAAAATACCGGTAATTATTTTTACTTTTTTCAACATAAACCTAGTGGTAGTGCAGTTTTAAGGCTGATTTATAAACTTTACGTTGGCGTTGGCGCTGACGTTCGCGTTACAACATGGTTAAATGTGAAACTCGTATGCCCCACCAAACCGTCTGGCCAGCGTGGTGGGTTATGGCCAAAACCTATAAAACCAAACATGTCGATTGCAACAGAAACAAGGAAGGTACCCCAGGTGGGTAGGAATTCTATTCCACAATCCCACACCGTAACAATGGTCTGCCCCGAGGATTCTTGGAGGGGGGCAAGTCGACATTGAAAAAGAAGAAGAACAAACAACTCCATATAGCAACATACAACATCCGCTCCATGGCAAAAGACGAAAAACTCTACGAACTAGAAGAGGAATTGGGGAACTTGAATTGGGACATAATGGGACTGTCAGAAGTTAAAAGAAGAGGTGAAGGATATGTGGACTTACATTCAGGCAACAGACTCTATTATAAAGGCAGGGAAGACTACACATACGGTGGAGTAGGTTTCTTAATCAACAAGAAGAGAAAATCTCAAATTCAAATAATTGACAGCATATCAGACATGGTCTTAAATCTAAATCCAAAAACTAAAACAAAGATCGTGCAATTTTATGCTGAAAAAGCAACCGATGAGGAAATAAATTCTTTTTACGAAGACGTTAAAAAAGCTATAGACAATAACAAACAATCCAAAATAATAATAATGGGAGACTTTAACGCCAAAATTGGAAGTAAGATTGAAGACTCTGAAAGCAAGATTGGAAACTTTGGATTCGGCACAAGAAACACAAGAGGAGAAAAACTCATGGAATTCCTGGAACAAGAAAACATGTATGTTATGAATACCTTCTACAAAAAGAAACCTAACAGAAAGTGGACATGGGTCGCACCTAACGGAACTACCAAAAATGAAATAGACTATTTTCTCTCAAACAACAAAGGAATATTTGAAGACGTCACAACAATAAACAACGTAACAACGGGTAGTGACCATCGTATAGTCAGAACAAAAATAAATATTAACATGAAAGAAGTGAGAGAAAAAGCATTTTTAAAAAATAACGAGGATAGATGGAATGAGAACTTAATAGAACGAGTCATTGAAAACAACAGAGGCTTAAAATGTCCGCACAAGGAGTTCAAAAAGTCATCAAAATTAAAGACGCCAACAATAAGGTAGAGAAGGACAAATATAAAATAACAAATATTGTCGAAGACTTCTGCACATCCTTGTACAGCTCGCAAGGCCAGCCTAATGAAACAACAAAGGAGAACATCAAAAGAAAAATAAAAAACGTGGGATCAGAAGTACTACCAAATATAAAGGGATACGAAATAGAAAGAGCTTTAAAAGAACTAAAAAATAATAAAGCTCCAGGACACGACGGTATAATTGCCGAACTCTTGAAAACAAGCAAAACATTAACAATCCCTGTACTAACAGAGCTATTTGATAGATGTCTCCATAATAGCCAGATCCCTAAAGACTGGAACGAGAGTCTAGTAATACTCTTACACAAAAAAGGGGACAAATGTGATCTACAGAATTATAGACCTATATCGTCGCTCAGTCAAGTATACAAACCATTTATGAGAATTATTAATAACCGGTTAACCTACAAAATGAATAATTACCAACTGGTTGAACAGGCTGGCTTCCGCAAAGGATATAGTACATCAGACCATCTGCTGACAATGAGAACATTGATAGAGAAGGCAAATGAATACCAACTACCAGTATTTCTTGCCCTCGTCGACTATGAAAAGGCGTTTGATAGTATCGAGATGTGGGCCATAGAACAAGCTATTAATAATTGTAATTGTAAAATGCAACTATGATAGTACAACTAGACGAAAATACAAATCCCATCCCCATTAAGAGAGGAGTGAGACAAGGAGACGTAATATCGCCAAAGCTTTTCAACTTAGCAATAGAAGAGGTCTTCAAAACTACAAATTGGTCAACCTATGGCATTAACGTTAATGGCAACAAGTTAAAGCACCTCAGATTAGCTGACGACATAGTGATTATAGCGAGCACATTCGAGGAACTGTAAATTATGTTGGGGGAACTAGCAGCCAGCTCCCAATACGTCAGCCTAAAAATGAATATGACAAAAACAAAAATAATGACAAACACAGAAGACCCCAGACATATAACTATAAACGGCAGTGAGATAGAACAAATATATCTACCTAGGTCAAATCCTGAGACTTGACAACGAGAACCAAAGTGCGGAAATTACTAGAAGAGCAAGACTAGCATGGGCAGGATTTGGAAAACAGTTGGATACTTAAGAACCGCAAAATACCCCAATACTTGAGGAGCAAAGTGTTCAACCAATGCATCCTTCCTATCATGATATATGGATGTCAAACCTAGACCCTAACCAAGGCAAACATGAATAAACTAGCCACAACAGAAAGAACAATGGAAATATCAATAGTAAGATCAAAAACAAAAGTCGAGGACATAACAACAAAAATTGCCAAACTTAAATGGAGCTTCGCTGGCCACACTGCTAGACAGAAAGACCAATGTTGGAATACTACAATACAACATTGGAGATCTCACGAAAGTAAACGACCAAGAGGAAGACCACAGATGAGATGGGTTGATGACATTAAAAGCATAGCCGGAACAAATTGAAAATATGTTGATCAGGATAGAGACCGATGGAAGGAGTTGGGAGATGCCTATGTCCAAACATGGACGACAGAAGACTAAGAAGAAGAAGAAGTATGTCTATTTATAAACATCGTTCACCGTTGGCGTTGGCGTTCGGTTCCATTCAAGATGAACCAACTTTATCTTTTGCAGTTGGCCATTGTAGCACAGAATACACAAACCCTTCTGTGGTTGGAGTCACGAACACATAACATAAAAAAACTGTATCTTTGTCATCGGAGCCAATAGCAATACGGAAAAAGTGATAAGGTTTGTCAAACAAATCAAATTAAATTATTTGTTTATGTTTGGGTTTCGCGTGTTTATAAAATGGAAGAGTTTAGATAATAATAAGCCTCTCTTCAACAGAAATTCCATCAGAGCGATCATCATCATCATCATCATTCCTCAACCTCTTGCATCCACTGTTGGATATAGGTCTCCTCCATGTTCTTCTACTGTTCTCTATCTTGCGCCTTCTGTATCCAATTTCCGACTGTTTTTCTCCATCTTTTTGGTGGTCTACCTCGGTGTCTTTTGTCTTCTCTAGGTCTCCATTCTATGAGTCTTTTGGTCCACCTATTATCATTTAAACGTGCTATATGTCCAGCCCATCTCCATTTGGCTTGTGCAATTTTTTCTATGACATCTGTCACTTTAGTCCTCTCTCTCACTATCCTATTTGGTACCATATCTCTTCTAGTTATTCCCAACATTGCTCTTTCCATTTTTCTTTGGGTTACACTCAATTTATTTGCAGAATTTTTGGTTAAATGGAAACTATCGCTCTGATGATTAATCATCAGAGCGATAGTTTACATTTATTTTTGGTTGTTCCATTTGCAGTAATTTTTCAAATACTGAAACCTGTATCTTGGTATATTTAAAAAACTGCTGGGTATCCCAGTTTTCCATATTTTTACAATAATTAAAATCCCTCTTGTCTTTCTGTTCTGGTTAATGGGCCTCCGTTTGTATCGACGTTGTCTTTTATTTCGAAGGCTCAATGCTGTTCGAATACAAAGTATCTGTGCCACTGCACCTAACAAAGACCGAGCATCTTTATTTTCCATTGTATTAATTTTCAAAGCAAAAATTAATAATACCAAATCAAACATGTAATATTAGAAATTTAGATGTGATCTTTAAAGCCAACCGAAAGTTAATAAATCAGCCTTTACAGTATAGTGTTTTTCTTATGGGGTATATCCCTTTAATTTTTTGCATTTTATAACAACCATTTTTTTTAGATACAACACTAAATTTGATGTAGATAGTAATAAGAGACAAATTCTTCTACCTGCATATCACGATATGATAATGACCATTCAAAATTTTTCATTTTTTAAAATTTTTCTAAATAACATTTATTATTAAGATCATTTATAAAACACATATTTTATTACCAGGTGACCGAGAGAAATTCGTATTTTACTTTTTATAAAGATGTATTCTAGAAGGTATCATTTTTTTATTGGACATTTCTGTTCGTAAATTGAAAATTTGTATGTCCAGTTAAACTGAATATTTATGATATAGCTAGTAATAACTTACCGGCGTCTAAGCTGTACCACTTCGTCCTTAATTTGTGATACATGCTGGTCATATACTTCGTTTAGTGGTTTAAAGGTATGTCCGGAATGAGTACCACCCCAAAGAGCGCATTGGTGACAGATACAACAGCGACAAGTCCAACAGTATACAGAAAGTTTTTCTAAATGTGTATTGCATTTATCTCTTTCAGTTTCGGTTTCTTTGGTCATGCCCGTGACAGATTGGAGACAATCCAACTGTTGAGTAACTTCCTCCACCCATCGACAATTAACCAGTTCGTGAAGATGAAGGGACGCCCTTAAATATATGTTGTATATGATATATATGTTATAAATTACACAATATGATGAATTTAGAGTAAATTCTCACTAAAAAAGTTTTAAGAAAACTTTTACCTAACCAGTTATAATATTAATTGCTTTATTGTCAAGATATTGCCATTATAAAGAGCCTGGAAAATGCAAAGAAACAATTACTATTTAAATGGGAATAAGCCACAATTAAAGATAAAAATACGTTTATTGACGTTTCAATTTCCATTTCGGAAATCGTTCTCGTTCTCGGAAAAACATCAATTTAGACAAAAAAGACATTGAGTTTATTAAGGCTATATACTGGAACCAGAAAACAGTAGTAAAGGTGAACGAAATAGAAACAAATAATATACCGATTGCGAGAGGGGTCCGGCAAAGGCGTCTTGTCTCCGACGCTTTTCAACGTGTACTCACAGGTTATATTCAGAAAAGCCTTATGGGAAAGAAAAGAGGGAATAAGAATTGGTGGAGAAATCGTAAACATCATGACATTTGCAGAATGCATTCAAATAGGATTTGACATCAACACAGATGAGACCAAATTTATGATAGTATCAAGGAGTCCAATAAATAATGAACAACTAACCCTTGGTGGACAGCAAATAGAGAGAGTGACAAAATATAAATATCTGGGAGCTTACATCAACACTGAATTAGATCCAGACCAAGAGATCAGAGTACGAATAGAAATGGCAAGGGCAGCGTTCTTAAAATTCAAGCAATTGTTCTGTGACAAAAATCTGTATATTGCGCTGAGATTGAGATTTGTTGAATGTTACGTTCGGTCCCAACTATTGTACGGGATACAGACATGGACGTTAAAAGCGCAAATAGTTAAGAAGCTTGAAGTCTTAGAACTTTGTATATACCGGAGAATTTTGAGAATTCCATTCCATGAAATCACCATTTTATTTTATTTTACATATAAAAATTACCTGCAAGTCACAATGTATACGTTTGGATACATACTATAACTCTTAATTGGGAAAGTAGAACATTTTGTAAATTATATTAAAAATCTTAAAAAAAATCATCTATTTTGTATCTTCAATTTTACAAATTTTTGTTTGTGAAACAAAAAGTCGTGAGCGAAATGGTTAACACGTTCGAATATACTCTAAAAGCTAGGAAGGTACACTACACCGAATTACAGGTTGCTACGTATTTGTGTCGAGAAGCTTAGACGCGTTAATAAACGTGCGGAGTCTGTGAGACGCATGGTCACCAGTTAAGGGTTAAAGAGTGCGTGTCGTTCACGTGCTCATTTTATCTTTTCAGCGGGTGTAGTATAGGAACACTAGGAACGTCGGAACTGCTACGACTGAATTTTTTGCATAGCCCTCGTATAATGATCTAATAAAATTAAAATTAAAAAAGAAACCACTCACCGGAGCTACTGTACCATAATTAGGGTACTTTTTGTTAGCGATGTCACTAAAAACTAGGTGTTTTTAATTTTGCTATTTGTGTATTATGTTTATATGTGGAACTAATAAGTAGTTAATTATTGTTATGTAAGGTAATTCGATAGATAAGGCATATCTCAGTATATTTTAATTGTGATAAATAATAAAATATATACTCTATAATAGAAGAATAAAAAACTGCATTATTTAATGATGACATAATTTTTCCGAGTTTGTTAAGAACTGGATATGGTTATCTTGAATTTAGATTATTTTTAGGTGGAAAATATGCAACTGTTATTGATAAGTAGATTTTATTGTATTGATACTTATAATGGCAGAAAAGTGTGTCCTTATTATTAGATATATCAATTTTTTGCTTGTCTAAGGTTAATAACAGCTCTTGTTGACACTGTAAGTGTTGCGTTCTATTGTAGTATCGTTAATTGTTCCGCCATTTTAGCATCTATTGGAGTCTTTTATACAGTGAACGTCTAAATTATGGAATATTATCATTATTTAGAGAGGAAAATCCCGAAACAGGTCGATTTTTGTTATAAAATACCCATCTTATAACGTACATGGAGTAGGGATGACGTCACCGGTGTGGGTGTAGTGACGTAATCGAAGGGTACCAAAACAATTTTTTTTAATTTAAATTTAACTAAATTACAACTAATGATTTAATTTATAATGTACTTTAAAGTAACCAAATTATGCATAACAATTATTTTAAATTAAATGTGCGAAATGCCATCCATCAGTTCCTGCCATGACTTTCAGAAGTAAATACTTAAAAAGCAAAAATAAGTAAAAATAATAATGGACCTAACAATTTATCTCATAAACACTGAAACCTTCAAATGTTAATTCAAACAAGTGATAGTGGCATAGTTACTCTAATATTTATTGACATAAATGTTTTGATTTTGTGAATTGTCATCAGTTGTCAATTGTAATTTTTACTTTTGAATACTAAATTATAGCTCACCTAAACACACAACTCATAAAAATATTAATTCTTAGCGTTAGGTTACTCGGCTTGCATGTTGCACAAACTCTACATCTCGAAATGTATTTCTTAACTGAGTTGCGCAAACCAGGCCAGTAATTTAGCTCAGCTATCTTACTAAAAGTTTTGTAGAAACCAAAGTGACTTGATGTCACATCATCATGAAAGGTTTGGGTGCCACGTTGGGCGCCAATGTAACAAAAATGCTTTGTGCGCCAATGTAACAAAAAATGTGTAAGAATATAACGAAAATGTGCATGCAATGAAACACAAGTAGTTGGGGGTAAAGTAAAAGATAACATATAATTTTAAAGCTGGCTAGCAGAAGTTGCCGGAGAGTGACTACTTGACACTCAAAGGAGGATTCGGCCAATTTGCATGCCCTACAGAGACCGTAGAATAAGAAAATGAATGACAAGGTTATAAAAAAAACTATAGAAATATAACTAAGATAACTAAAAGTGATTATAGAATTTGCTCCAAAATGTGAGTGGGCGCCAGGAAAGTATTTACATAAACTTTCCAAGGTATCTTGTAAAGCTATGTGCTGAAATAAAAAAAAGGATATAGGTATGAATTGAAATATTTAATTTTCACCAAAACTTTAATCCCTAGCCAAATATATACAATATAAATTTATCTTAAAATACCCACCACCAATTATGTACAGTCAACTTAATTATATACAAAAAATAAATGCCCTGGTTATACCCAACTGATCCTTGATGATCTAAATTTACAAATAATAAAATATGGAAAAAAATGGTAATGATTGACCTAAAAAGGTAATTTACTTGCCTCAGAGATGCAACTCTGTATTTTGGCTTTCAATTGAACGTAATTGTAACAAGTAATAAGGACACTATCTTGACGAGATAAATGTCCAAACGTTTAAATATATAATAATAATAAAATCTTAAAAAAAAATAACTCTCTGATTAAATGTGTACACATAAAACCGTACAACATAAGGGAGTATTTAAAACTCAACCTGTAATTGACAATTAGTCCTTAAACGTTATTTAAAATTAGTTTAAAAAAATGGCAGGTCTTTATTATTAGTCCAAGTATGAATATTTAAAGTTAAACAAAAAAAAATAAAAATAAAAATTGCATCGTATAAAAAGTTATTAAAATTAAAAACAAAACTTGATAAAATTAGCTGTGTTCCACACTCTAAGGCGGTCTTTCCAACTGGTTCCCTGAAGTTATCCGGGAAGGCTTATATGAGGTCTGTACCTCGGATGGAACAGCTCAGGGTGATGGCCAAGGTGTACACCCAGTAGGAAACAAATCAATTTGTATTCTTAAATAAATCCCAATCAAATTAAAATGAGAAATTCTTGACTCTGGACTAACTTCGGAAGTAGGAAGTAGGCGACAAAAGAGCGGCTAACTCAGATGAATAACACTAAAACCAACTAAAAATTTCCTCATCTTCTTCCCGAAAAAAAAAATACTTTTCTTAAAACAAATTTAGCACAGCTCTTGGTACCATACATCCATGGTACCGTACATCGTCCAAAATTGCACATATTGGAGTCAAGAAAACCCACATTTTATGACTGAGTCCACACACGCATTATCCTCAGAAAGCAAATGTATGGCAGGGATCATTAATGACAGAATCATTTGCCCTTTTTTCTTTGAAGAAAATCTAACAGGAGAACGTTATTTACCTTTTTTGAGAAATCAACTTATATCTGTCCTTACTAACATGTATCCAAATGTCAATAATCCAAATTTACCTAGTGAAAATATCTGGTTTTAACAAGATGGAGCCCCTTCGCATTACGCACGTGAAATACGTCAATTTTTAAATCATTGCTTTCCGAGGAGGTGGATCGGAAGACGAGGTTTTATAGAGTGGCCAGCAAGGTCTCCAGATCTAACACCTCTAGACTTTTTCCTGTGGGGTTACATAAAATCAAAAGTTTATGTCAATAGACCTCAAAACTTACAGGACTTGAAAGATAGAATTAGGCGTGAAATGAGTCATTTCGAACATTTAATTTAAAATAATTATTATGCATAATTTGGTTACTTTAAAGTACATGATTAATTAAATCATTAGTTGTAATGTAGTTGAATTTAAATTTAAAAAAAATAGTTTTTGTACCCTTAAAAATATTTTAGTTAAAAATGTAATGTCGTTAAATAAAAAATTAAATTCTCCTTCTAATGAGGTGTCGCATTATACCGATTTCTATTTAAAAAAATTAACGATTACGTCACTACACCCACACCGGTGACGTCATCCCTACTCCATGTACGTTATAAGATGGGTATTTTATAACAATAATCGACCTGTTTCGGGATTTTCCTCTCGAAATAATGATAATATTCCATAATTTAGCCGTGCACTGCGGCTTATTTATTTCTTGCTTGTATGTGTGTGTTGTATTAATATTTGTAACATGAAGTGCCTAAAAACTGGTTATTTGAGCGTATATTATGTCAGCTACCTTGTTTTATAGGTTTTTGTTGATTTCTTAACGTTTAAACATCTACAGCAGTGCTGACTGGGTGTGCTCCATTACAGTGTACGTATAAAGAGTCCTTAATTTGTGGCTTCTCGCAGTCTTTTGTTAGATATTTGACGATACATTTTACGCACCTTGAAAATCGTTTAGGTATGCAATTTTTTGGAGTGGACCAGGCTACTTATACAAACGACAACGGCAAAGAATATGGTTTATGGCAATATATAACACCAAAACATTGATGAATTACGAAAAACTTGAGGAACTTGAAAACGAGCTGAAGCATATAAAATGAGATATATAAACTTGGATTATCTGAAGTACGGCGAAAAGGCGAAGAATAAATGGTACTTTCGTCGAGAAATCTATTTCACTATAGAGGAGAATCTTCTAATGGTGGCGTCGGATTTATGATAAATAAAAAACACACGAAGAATATACTTACAATTAAAAGCATAAGTGATAGAGTTATTTATCTTATCTACAAAGTAAACGAAAATATTCGATTAAAGATCATCCAGGTATACGCACTTACCACACAGATGAAGAAGTTGAATGGTTCCATCCTCTATGGTTTCACTATGGTATTGGTTATGGTTCCACCAACTATATCATACTGATGGGAGACCTTAACGCAAAAATAGGCCACAAGCAGGATGATTCGGAGTTTGTACTTGGACCTCACGAATATAATTAAGACATAATCCTTATTGCAGACCGGATAGATCATGCTTGTCAGCTTCTTCAAGACCTTCAGAGCTCGTATACACGAGTTGGACTTAAAATTAATTTTTCTAAAACACAATCTATGACCAACCTTTTACTGGGGAAAACATCTCAACTAACGGCACGCAAATTGAACTGGTGTATAGCTATAAATATCTGGGCCACGAGATTAAATTAGGAAGAGATAATCAAACAACGCAGCTAAACAAGAGAATAGGACTGGCATGGGAGGCTTACGGAAAACTGAGAGAAGTCTTTAGATCAGATATTCCCATGTGCTTGAAAAGGAAGGTCTTTGATCAATGTGTACTACCAGTTCTAACGTATGGAGCAGAAACATTGACCCTTACCAGAAAAGTAATCAATTAAATACAAGTGGCACAGAGAGCGATGGAGAGGTCATTGCTGAATATATCCCTCAGAGACAGAGTATCAAATACAATAGTTAGAAGAAGAACTGGTGTTACTGACGCAGTTCAAAGGATTACAACATTGAAATGGAACTGGGCGGTCATGTTTCCAGATTAAAAGATCCAACAAGGTGGTCAGATGACATCAAGCGCATCCAGTACAACTGGATTCAGGGTCCTCAAGATAGAATACATTGGAATTATTTACGGGAGGCCTATGTCCAGCAGTGGACTCAAAACTGCTGATGATGATGCAATTTTTTGCTGTGTCTGCTTTTAAACAAAAATATAGATCGCAGCTAAATACAGAAAGATCTACGAATAATTACAAATCTATACTGGCATCAAGTGGCAAGAATAAAGGTTGAACAAGAACTGTCGGATGAAATAAATAAAAAAAGAGGAGTGAGACAAGGTTGTATATTGTCGCCTTTACTTTTTAACTTATATTCGGAGGAAATATTTAAGGAAGCCTTAATGGAGACAACCGAAGGTATTATTGTGAATGGAGTAACCGTCAACAATATTAGATATGCCGACGATACCTTAGTCCTTGCAATTGCGGAGAAGACCTTCAAAATCTAATGACAAAATAAAACAGACTTGTAATCAGTATGGATTAAAACTCATCGTTAAGAAAACTAAATATATGATAGTTAGCAAACAAAATTATATACATGATGACGGTATAAAATCGGAGATGCCACACTGGACAGAGTAGAGAAACTCGTGTATCTCGGCAGTAATATCAATGAGAGTTGGGATCCAACCGCAGAAATTAAAAGCCGAATAGAACAAGCCTGAGCTGCCTATGTAAAAATGAGAAACGTACTTTGCAGTCATGATCTTAGCATTGACCTTAGAGTTCGTATGATATCTTGTACATCTTTCCTGTCCTGCTGTATGGAGTAGAAGCGTGACCCTAACTGAGGCTATGCTTAAACGCTTGACAGCCTTTGAGATGTGGGTATACAGACGACTACTGAAAATAAGCTGGGTCGACAGAGTTAGAAATGAGGAGACCTTAGACGGCTGAACCAAACAACACAACTGGTCAATATATTAAAGAAACGCAAGCTGGAATACTTCGTCATATTATGAGACACCCTGAAAAATATGATTTTTACATCTGATCATTCAGGGAAAGATCCAAGGTAATCGTGGTCCTGGTAGAAGAAGAACATCATGGCTGAAAAATCTAAGGCAATGGTATGGAAAATCAACTACATCGTTATTTAGAGCTGCTGTCAATAAAGTCACGATAGCGAATATGGTAGCCAACATGATATCCAACGATCGATAACGGTCATGGAACTAGAAGAAGAAGAAATACAGAAAGATATATTAAAGTCACGAAACTAGAAATCCGAAGATTTCTAATTGACGAAACCAAAATCCAGATTTTTGCTTTAATATATGCCTTCAAAAAATTGCAAGGCAAAACAGACGTTGATGAAGATGTAAATAGATATTATTAAAAGATATTAAAGTATCAACATGTGCTAATGCAATCGTGTCTCCAAAAACTTTGCTCCGCAAATGAGTCCCAAAGAAGTTACTAATAATTATCAATTATTTTTTAATAATTTCACAATGTAGTATATTGCTTTCCTTTTTAAATTGTAAAGTTCGTTTGGTTCTCTGTAGTAAGTCCAAATAGCACTATACATATAAGTATTAATTGTTACATTGGTTGTAAAAGATAAACGGGTGTTGTTGAGATTTAAAATTACCTGCAATGTGGGCATTGGGATCGTTGTTCGGTCAACCATCGTCTGATACATACATAACAACATAGTTTAGAGCAGTGTGGACACAAGTGGGCATCTCGAAGTTTCTCCATACAAATGAAACACCGAAATACTTCAGTTAACGTAGATTCTGAGGTTGTATTAAAACATTCCATGATTTTGAGTATTGTTCTTCGTGCAAAAAGGGTTTATTAGAAAAATATTTGTCAATGATTTGACGGAAGGAGATGACGTTTGTATAAGAGTTAGTTTTGTGCGATGTCAGTCCTTCATGCTGGTCGTAATATTTTTATTCTAAACAAATCAAATAACCTATAAATTCTACAGCAGTTTTTTAGTAGTTTGCATTTAACTCTATGGATCAGTCCACGTTAGTTATTCCATGCAGCTTGCTGAATTTGTATAACAGAAGATTTTTTTTTTCATAAGGTTTTAGTTTTTAATGAAACTTTCAAATTTATTGTTTCTTCTAAGTGAAGCTAAAATAGCTATCAATCTTAGATTTATTAGTTAGTTTAGGGGATGACCGATTTTGAATAAAAGTATCACTCACTGTGGGAAGGATGGGAGAATGGTACTTCCTCAGTATGTAAATTCTTCTTCTTAGAGTGCCATATCCATACGGAACGTCGCGCGTCGGCGACTACCATGCTTATAATATTATTATACTGATCTCGGTCTTGCGCTATGTGTAGCAATCGGTCCGCTGTCAAACCTGTCCACTGCCGCAAATTCCTCAACCAAGAGAGTTTCTTCCGTCCTATCCATTTCTTCCTTCGATTTTACAGTTGAGAATTAGCCGAAGGAACTCATATCTTGGTCCTCTGATTATATATCCAAGATATTCTAGTTTACCCCTCTTAATAATATTTAATAGAGTTCGTTGATGTCCCATTCTTCAAAGAACTTCTTCGTTTCTGGTTCTGCTAGTCCATGAAATTTTTAGTATCCTTCGATACAACCACGTTTCAAACGCCTCGATTTTATTCATGGTATCGGCGTTTAAAGTCCAAGTTTCACATCCATACAAAAGTACAGACCACATGTAACATCTTGTAAACTTTTCACGGATTTCCAAACTTAATGAGTTATTGGATAATAGAGGCTTGAATTTTTGAAATGAGTTTCTTGCCTGTTCAATTCTACATCGAATTTCGAAGGATGGATCTAGATTTTGGGTAATCCAACATCCAAGGTATTTGAATCTCTGAACTCTCTGCAGCGGTTGTTGGTTTAATATCAGTTGGTTTGCACCGATATCCACTTTACTGGTCACCATGTATTTAGTTTTATCGATATTTATCGACAGTCCCCAATTTGTGCATTCCATGTCAACTCTATTGATTAGCTCCTGCAGATCGTCGATGTTTTCAGCTAGAATCACAGTATCTTCGGCGTATCGTATATTGTTAATTATTTCTCCTCCTATGATAATTCCTTTTTGATCTTTTAAAGCTTCCCTAAATAGATTCTAAGAATACACGTTAAGAGGGTGGGAGATAGTATACAGCCTTGTCTTACGCCTTGTTCAATACTGATTGGCTTTGATTCTCTGTTGTTGGTATTAATAATGGCTGTTTGGTTCCAGTAAAGTTTGGCAATAAGTTTGATGTCTTTCTCATCTAGTTGGATGCTCTGCAAGGCGGTAATTAGTCTGGTATGCTGAACGCGATCAAATGCCTTTTCAAAATCAATGAAGCACATATATACGGGTTTTCTTACCTCCCAACATTGTTGAAGGAGTGTTTGCATAGAAAATAGTGCTTCTCTAGTTCCAAGGCATCTCCGGAACCGAATTGCTCTTGACTAATTATTTCTTTCGCACTTGTTGTTAATTCGGTTTAGAAGAATATGCAACAGTATTTTAACGGCATGGCTCATTAAACTAATGAGTCTACAATCGCTACATTTCTTAACGTTTGGTTTCTTAGGTAGAGGAATAAAGATCGATTTTAACCAGTCCGATGGAATTTCACTGGTATCATATATTTGATTGAAAAGTACAGTGAATTCTTTTATATTGTCATTTGAGAGTAATTTTAGCCATTCGCTGTATATTTATCATCCTTAAATAATGCTTTGATGTAGTTTTCCCATTCCTCCATTACTTCGTCTTCTAGGGATAGTGCATGACCTTCATTATTCGTTAATGTTATGGGTGTATTTCTTTTGTGTACTGTAACTTCTTTTATTTTGTTATGTGTGTTAAATTCGTCATGTTTTCGTTGCAATTCTTCTAGTTCCTCATATTTTGCTCGCATCCATAACTCTTTGGCTTCCCTGATTTTGCTTCGAATCAGATTATGCTTTCGTTTATACTCTGAGTTATTTCTATTTTTAAGCCGTCTTCTTTCGTCCATCATTTCGAGTATTTCATCTGTCATCACACCCATGTAAATTAGTAACAAATATATTTTTAGTCAAAAAGAAATCAATCAGGTCTGGAATTTTGTTGAAATCATTAAGCTAATATGTCGGTTTACCTATTGAAAGTGTTTTGCTTTTTAGTTACTTCAAGAGTTCCTTTCCCTTTGTTGTGATTAACCTAGAACTCCAAAGGCTTAAATTTTAAATAGGTGTTTCAAACAAGTCTGGAACTAGTAAGTGAAATTCGAGGAATAGATTGTCGTGAATTTTTGTTTTTCCTCAAATGCTAATACTTTTATATGTAGCTATATATTTTTTTATTTTTCAGGATTACCACTTTCTCTTCTAATCGGTACCAAATATGGTAAACATTTGTGTAGAAAGTATAACAAACCATTTATGCCAATTCATCACATGGAAGCCCACGCGCTCACCGCAAGAATGCACGACAAATCTATAGAATTCCCTTTTCTAGTTCTATTAATTAGTGGTGGACATTGCTTACTTGTAGTAGCAGAATCAGTAGACAAATTTCTTTTATTAGGAGAAACCATAGACGATGCTCCTGGTGAAACCTTCGATAAAGTAAGCGTCAATTTATTTAAATTTTTAAGATTATGTATATATATATATATATATATATATATATATATATATATATATTATATATATAATATATTATATATATAAGGATCACTCAGACGAGTGGTGGGTTCTTATATCGGTCTCTAGGTGGAGAAATAAAAGACAAAGTTGATAGGCTACTTTATCTATTTTGAAGACGACGTTTCGCTTTCGAGTTTGAAAGCATCATCAGTTCATCTAAAAAATTTACAATATGAGAACCACACAATCATGGAAACGATGTTAATTGTTACCTTAAAAAGATATGTAGCAGTCAATGTTATTAACAATAATGTGAATGAAACTAAGTAAATGGACATAATACGCTGATTTTGTAAAACAGTTAAGTAACTAACAACATATATGAACTTATAAAAAATTAGCACAGCGAATGACCATGTGGTCTAAAGTAAATTCAACGTTATTAATGTTAATTAGTGAGTAAGAACCAAGAAAATCATAGATAACTTCCAACTATTTAATGAATATTAAGCTTTGATTTTAACTTTAGGTAGCATTATAAGTGATATTAATAAAATTTTAAAAAGTAGTATAAATGAAGTTACCGATCAAAGCCCTATGAATGTCGCCGGGAAAATGGCGTTTAATGAAACAGAAACGAACTAGCTGTCTGAACGAACGGCTGTCTTTTCGCGGTTTAGTTCGTTCCTGTTTCATTAAACGCCATTTTCCCGGCGACATTCATAGGGCTTTGATCGGTAACTTCATTTATACTACTTTTTAAAATTTTATTAATATCACTTATAATGCTACCTAAAGTTAAAATCAAAGCTTAATATTCATTAAATAGTTGGAAGTTATCTATGATTTTCTTGGTTCTTACTCACTAATTAACATTAAATAACATTGAATTTACTTTAGACCACATGGTCATTCGCTGTGCTAATTTTTTATAAGTTCATATATGTTGTTAGTTACTTAACTGTTTTACAAAATCAGCGTATTATGTCCATTTACTTAGTTTCATTCACATTATTGTTAATAACATTGACTGCTACATATCTTTTTAAGGTAACAATTAACATCGTTTCCATGATTGTGTGGTTCTCATATTGTAAATTTTTTTAGATGAACTGATGATGCTTTCAAACTCGAAAGCGAAACGTCTTCAAAATAGATAAAGTAGCCTATCAACTTTGTCTTTTATTTCTCCACCTAGAGACCGATATAAGAACCCACCACTCGTTTGAGTGATCCTTATATATATATATTGGATTGACGGTCGTACTCCTTTTTCCGATATATATATATATATATATATATATTATTATATATATTTTTATATATATTTAACATTTAGTAATATTATCACAATTTTCAGATGGCAAGACGAATGAAATTAAAAAATATTCCTAAATACTCAACATTATCGGGAGGACAAGCAATCGAATTAGCTGCTACCAAAGCCGATAATCCTTTAGCGTATAAATTTACAATACCCCTATTAATGTACAAGAATTGTAATTTTAGCTTTGCGGGTATAAAAAATCAGCTTCTTCTTCAACTGCAGCGAGAAGAAAAAGAAAAAGGTATGTAGTTTAGGTAAAGATAAAGGTAAGTTTATATAAGCTAGTATGGCAACTTATACTAGTTTTCACAACCAGCCAAACAATATAAACAATATAAAAAATAACTTACTTCTTACTAATTAATATTATTTAGTATTCCAGAAGTAATTCTTCTCCAGAAGTGTTCTTAATTACATTAAGTTATTTTAAATATTACTATTATGGAAACTAGAATTTTGGAGATAGCACACAGTCCAGAAAAAATGTGGAAAGCATTCAGAGATGCCATAGAAAAGCCTGTTGCAAGAATCGAAATAGAAAAGAAGATCGTAAAGAAAAAACACTGGAGGACAGAAATGACGCTGCAACTTATTGAAGAGCGAAGTAGAATCAAATCTCTCATACATAAGAATAACAGCAAAAAATAGAATTGTTGAGATTGAACACAAAAATAAAAAGAGCATGTAAGGAGGACAAAATACACATATAAATAAAACATGCAAAGAACTAGAGCGTCATGCAAACCGTTATGAATCCCATGAGCTGTACAATAAAGTCCGATGTCTATAGTACAAGCCACAGTTAGAATGCAGTGTTAGTCTTACGACGAACAGCGATGCTGATCATGTCAGCACAGTGGTAGGTGTGCGTTAGTTTGGCGATAGACTGAGAAATCTTTATTATTAACTTAACTGAATTAAATAAGAGAATAAACAAAAAAACAAATTAATTCTATAAAAAATGCATCTACACATAAAATATCTAATACCTCGTAAATACTTATATACATACATACAAAAAAATGCAAGTAATTTTACTCTACGATAAATGTATTTTTTATTTTTTGTAATTTTGTGTATTTTAATATGTTTACAAAAAGTTAGAGAAGTAGCTGGTCTTTATCATAAGAAAACTCCACATACTATAACCGATTCGTCGGGAAAAATGATAATAGACGAACATGATATTCGAACAACCTGGTTTAATTATATAAGTGAACTGTATAGTGATGATAGACCCGAAGAACCGGAGACTTTAGTTGAAGCTGAAGGACCAGAAATACTAAAATCAGAAATACTGCATGCTATAAAGTTAGCAAAGAACAAGAAAGCCGTTGGCCCTGATAACATACCGACAGAGATGTTAAAGCTTATAAAATGAGGAGAACATTAAAATACTGGTCAAACTTTCAATGATGTTTATTCGACTGGTGATATCCCTGAAGATTGGTTAAAATCGCAATTCATAACACTACCAAAAAACAACGTCCGAAAAACTGTAGCGATTATAGAATGATAAACCTTATTAGCCACACTTTGAAAATATTTCTACGCATCATCCACAGTAGAATCAGAGATAAATGTGAAGAAGATCAGGATGAAACACAATTTGGCTTCAGAAATGGACTGGGAACTCGGGACGCCCTCTTTGCACTAAATGTATTACTGCAGAAATGTCTAGATCAAAGGAAAGACGTCTTTGCTGTATTTATTGACTACGAATAGGCCTTTGATCGAGTACAGCATCACAAATTAATTACAATATTAAAAGATAAAGGAGTTGATAGTCAAGACATACGATTCATAGAAAAGTTATACTGGCGTCAAACAGCGACAGCTTGCATAAACGGAAAATTAACAGAAATATGTAAAATACAAAGAGGTGTCAGACAGGGTTGTATACTATCCCCACTGTTATTTAATTTATATTCAGATAGAATATTTAAAGAAGCGCTGCATAATTTGGAATGGGGCGTGAAAGTTAATGGAATTCTGATAAATACAATCAGATATGCAGACGATACAGTTATTTTAAGTGATGACATGAATGGATTACAATGCCTTTTAAATGCCATTGATAAAGTGGGAAGGGTGTTTGGCCTAAACATAAACTGTTCAAAAACAAAACACATGGTGTTTAGCCGTTTAGCACATCAAGATGCACGATTATATGTTGATGGTTATATAATTCAAAGAGTGTCCAGTTTTAAATATCTTGGTTGCCATATTACTGAACAACTAGATCCAGATCAAGAGATAAAATGTAGAATCGAGATAACCCGCACGACATTTTTAAAAATGAGGTCATTATTCTGTAATGATAACACTTCAACTTCGAAAGCGCATGGTTAAATGCTACATTTGACCAGTCCTCTTATACGGTGTCGAAGCATGGACATTAAAAATATTCACGATTAATCGTCTGGAGGCCTTTAAGATGTGGCTGCACAGACGTATACTAAAATTCTATGGACGGCTATGCTAACAAATGTGGCAGTCCTTGAAAGAGCAAATGCTGCTCGCCAGCTGCTTGATAACATCAAATGTAGAAAGATGGCCTATTTTGGACACGTAGTAAGGGGAGACCGATATAATATTCTTCAACTTATTATAATGGGTAAAATCGAAGGACGCAAAGGAATTGGTAGAAAGCAGGCCTCTTGGTTGAAGAATATCAGGGAGTGGACAGGAATAAAGAAATCTGAGCAACTATTTAGAATAGCTCGAGACAAAAACAGTTTCGCCATGTTAATCGCCAACGTCTAGAGCGCGTTAAGAAGAGAATTTTGTGTATTTTAAATAAAAAATTGGCTAAAAATATTTTCATTACTGTTAATGAGTTTGGTTGTTTTTTTTTTCTATAATTTCAATGTTACCACTAATAACAAACATATAATAGTAATAATGATAAAAATCATATATGATAATAATAATAAGTAAATTTATATCATTTATAGAATATCCATATTATAAAAATAATACAAAAAAATATTTTTATGTATTTATTTATTTATTACGGATAATTCACTTGTTTGTCATTGCATTCCTTTCCGAAAAATTTTCTAGAACAATTTTCCCTACACTGACGAAATTTCGAAATTACTGACGATGATTTCCTAATCGACAAAAAAGCATGGGAGATTATACTCGAGGCGTGTATCAAAATTTTTTGAACTGTTGGGGACATGGGTTGCCTAGCATACAACTGCACGTAATATTAGGCAGTGTCCATTGCATACCTGGAAAATTTCTCCAAAACTTTGTGGAAGCCTGAAGATAATTCTTCTAATAATATTTTAGCTGCTTCGTTGATATCGGTGAAAAATCTGCGGATGTATTTCATAACCAAACCTAGTTTTTGGTATATCCACTAGCAATCTCATTTTTTTCTTTTGAATTTCATCATTTGCAGACTTTATTTTTTCGTATTAATAACCCTATAAATTAACGCGACCTAGTTTAAATTCTGATTTTACTTTATAGGACAAATGTAGAAGGATTCGAAAAATTCGTAAAATTGATAATCCAAATTTGAACGTTTCTAGATCTTCACTTTATTCTATATTCATATTATTGAAAGCCTTTGAAGTTTTTCTGCAAAAATATAACAGCGGAATGTGGATACAGTGTCCCTGACTCCATTGTAAACCTTTCCATCCACCATTGTTTGTACTAGGATATGTTTAATATTTATATTTTCTAGTCCCTTGCAAATTTTTCGTCTGCTTCTCAATGTATTTTACCTTCTCCTTGGAAATGTTCCTACTTTCTTCAACATATCTTATCCTAATTGGTTTAAAAATCCAGGTGAAGAAGCGTATATATTCTGCCAATTTGTACCAATAATCTTATAACATAATCTTTACCGTTATTAAATTTTTGTTTCTATTGACTTTGTTGCGAACCATTACATCACCATTTGAAAAGTAACACAAAATCCTTTGTTAATGTTATCAATATGTTTCTAAAACTTTTCTAAATATTTTTATAATCTTCTTGCCAAATCTTGTAACTTTACTTAAGAGAATAGGCGCAAAATTCGGGCAAATGCGTTTTAAATGCATTCATTTTTTTTTGAACCTGAGAAAATTCATAATTATTTTCGAAAAATTTAAACGTTGAATGAAAGATTACATTATTACCCAGGGCCGAAAGTTCCTTAGAATAAACAAAAAAGTTTCTTTTTAATGAGATGTGTAGTGTATTTTTAGTACTTTAAATTAACTAAAACCCAAATTTTAAGGACTCAAAATGGAGGTAGCATAAAAAAAATTCGATGTGCTACCAACCCAACGTTAAACCATAATTATTATTCATCTTATTGTACATTGCAGAGGTTCCTGCTGATGGAATTATACCGGGCGTTGACAACCTTTGTGCCAGTTTTCAGCTTGTTGTAACCAGACATATCTGTCATAGAGTTCAAAGAGCGATGGAATACGTTTTTATGAAAAAATTGATACCTCCCGATAAACAAACTCTGGTAGGTTAAAGATTAATATTTCTTATATATAATTTAAACAAAATTATGTCATAAGAGTGTAGAAAGATTTATATAAAGTACATGCCTTCTAGCAGCGAAATAAGGGCAAAAAGTAGGTTCAATAGTAGAAAGCGTGAGATGTCTTGTGCCGCTCTAGCAGGACTTGTTGGTGTGTTTGTTCCTCAGTTTTCTGAAGGCGCTTTAGTAGTTTTCTAAACATACTGCTATTGGATAAGTGTGCAGCATTTGTAAAAATGATAATTTTTATGTCTCTCTAGCAGCACATTTTCTATAGCTGTTCTTCAGTTTTTCGAAGATTTTTCGGTGGTTTTCTGAAGACTAAAATACGATGTATCTATTTGAATGTAATAACGTTAGAAGGCTGTAGCTTCAGAATAATATTTTTTCAGACCTAGGTCCAATTAACTTTTTTAATCTACGTACTAAGAACTGTCATTGCCGAACTTTCGTTTAATTTGACCTTGGGCTGTTTTCGATTTCTTGACATGTTGTCTGAAACTATTGGTACCCTGGTATCCATTTGCCAAAACATTCGGATTCGTGGTAAATTATAAATACCAATATGAATGCAGCATGCAATAAACGTTTTTAATTCTTCTGCAGAAGTCTCCAAATATTTTATTTTCCAGTTTTTTTTACTTCCTTCATATTTGTGTACAACGCCATGGTTTAAAAAAATTGTTATCTATGACTTTATTGAAGTAACAATAAGTCTTAGAATATTTTCGGGATTCGAGGAATCTTGCACACAGGGTTGATATTGGGCAAATTGTGGTGTAAAATGTGTTCTCTTCCATTCTTTCCTGTTTTTTTTAGGAATAGAATTTGCCATGTTACTCTCCATTAAAGGCCGGGTTGCCAAGAGCATGTCATCATCCGAATCGTCGTCTGATATGTCACTGATTTCAGCGTGATCGTCACTCCTTTCTTCCTCACTTTCAATAATTATTTCATTCTCATCCAGATTTCTAGGTTCATCCTATTCGTCCCCACATCATCACTGTCAGTAAAAAAATAAACATCCAAATCAGAGTCATCTAAATTCATATTATCTGCGATTTCCTGAAGTTCAGTCGCACTCAGCGGCCCTTAAAATAAAAAAAATATTTTAAAATACACTACCGTTTAGGACCCAAGGTATCATCAATGATACCTTGTGTTTAGGGTCAAAAAACTATTGTACCTATCATCAATTTATCAAAATTTCAATTTAGTACCTTTTTTAACACTAAAATGCACTGATTATACACAGAAACATGCAAAACAAACAAATATTATGTACTTAATTTTATTATTGAAGATTTTTTTAGCGGCTGCCATGACGTATTTACTTACTCGCAACAAAAGTCTGACTAACTCATTTCAATCGAGAAGTATGCCACGGCGCAATGTTCTACGCATAGTAGATGATTAACACCGGCTGTACTTACGGGCAGAATAACAGCGTTTTCCGTCAAATGCGAAAAATAATTTGTTGAACCGTAGTATCATATATGATACCTGCGGTTCGAGGAGGATAAACAAAAAAAATAAGTATTCTGTAGAGAAGAAGATTAAGAAAGTTGGTCTGATTTCCAATATAGGCTTATATTTACCTATTCCTATAATACATTTAGTTTTGTAACACATCCATTTAAACATTTTAGGTAGTATCAGGTGGAGCTGCCTGCAATAATTTTATTGCAAAAGGATTATCTATGGTATGTGATGAAGTAGGTTATAAACTTGTGAGGCCGCCTCCAAAACTGTGTACAGATAATGGTGTCATGATAGCTTGGAACGGCGTTGAAAGGTTTGTTTCTATTAAAATAAGTAAATATTGGTATACTTTTTCCATTGAGAATTGAAGTAATGAAACTAATACAATCGTTCAATTTTTATTCTAATACAAATGCTTCTTGTTTATCTGCTTGCTAAATTCATATTAAGCCAATATAAAATGTTATAACACGAGTCCATGTATATGTATTTACTAGTTGACTCAGATATTCACTATTTTATTTTTAATCTCCCTACTTTTTATTTATCCGTTGGGAATAATAATTGTTGTTTTACGCATGTTTCATTACTTCGTTTGGAATAAAATGTAGATCTCATATATTTCATTTAACATTATTTTGTAGATGGAAAGAAAATATAGGTGTATACAAAAATTTTGAACACATTGACATTGAGAAGTCTGCACCATTAGGAGAAAGTTTGATAGAAGACGTAGAACGTGAACAAATCAGTTGCACATGGGTTAAATTAACAAAGTTAAATTATCCACAAATCACAAATGTAGAGCAAATTGTTGAAAATAAAGTTGTTCAATAAATTACCCTTATTTTATTTATTTTTTTTATTTTTATTAAAAATAGGTTATAAAAGGTATATTTATTTAAAAGAAGCCTAAACGGGCTAAATCATAGAACGTTTTGGACTAAATAGTTCATCTTTAGTGCTGCTACTATAAATAATAATCTGCCAAATAATCACCTTGCTGCTGCCAAATAGTCACCTTCAATTAAAAATTGTTTTAGTATAGATATACATAAAATATATGGGTGAAAGCCCTGTAAATGTGATTTACAACAACAAAAAAAAAGAAAGTTTCATATCCCAGGAAACAAAGATTCTTATGAACACAAGAAGAATATTACTAGAACAAGGGGACAGAAGTAAAATAAAATACAAAGAAATAAACAAAACTATTAGAAAAAATATCAAGGAGTGTAAACGGAGAGTACAGCAAGAAAATGATTGAAAAAAATAGAAACATGAAGTGCTTAAAGCAGAACCTGGGAAACATACAAATTAATAGCATAAAGAACAAAGAAGTAGTTGAGACCAACAATATAAAAGAAATTTTACAGATAACGCACAAATATTATACAAATCTCTATAAAACAGAACAAAAACCAATCCAAGAAATCCGTAATCAGTTACAACTGCTCTGACCTACAACCAGAAATCAGTAAAAATGAAATAAAAAAGGGACTCTGCCGAGAAATCGTATGATTTCTCTTCTTGAACAACAATAATTCTCATTAGAATTAATTGTGGTTTAACCCCATATGAAATAATATCTAAGTTAAATATGTCTCAACAAAACAGGTCCAGAACTTTTTTAAGCTGCCCTAACATCTTAATTTTCCTCATTTATGACACATTCCAACAATTCGGCCAAAAGGCCCATTCCTTAGACAAGGAAATTCCTTGTCTAAGGGCCATTCCAAACCTTGTAAAGAAAAATGTTGCAAACTTCACATATGTTATTGATTTTTGAACAATATAACCTCACTTTTT